TGCAAGGGTGGCTTTGTTCCCTTGGATTTTATACACACACACACACACACACACACACACACACACACACACACACATATTTTAAATCAACATTTTAGTGGCTTCTAATTTCATCTCCCAGAACTTCCTTCCAGGTCCTTCAAATGAGTATTGTAGGAGGCGGGTGACAGGGAGGGCAGTATTGGGCACTGTGAGAGGACCCGGCCTCACCTTCCACTTACTGGCAGCGTGACCTCTGACACATCCCCTCCTCCCTTAGGGCTCAGGCTTCTGAGACATCTACAGGGACTGGGGGCTAGGCTGGGTCTCAAGGGGCCCACATTCGAGGATTCCAGAACCATGGCCCAGTCATTGCTCAGGCGTCTGACCCCTTTTGTTTAGGAAATTCCCAGGAAGTCTCCGGCTGCTGCACCACTGGTCGGATCCCCTCACGTGTCCTAGAGCATTCTAGAGAAGCTTTGCCCTTTCCCTGCACCAAATAGGACGAATGCAATTTATTAGTAGTACTAGCGGTACCCTGACAAATTAGCGTCTTCCTGTGCAGGTTTGGTTTCCAAGGCACATTGCTGTCCACTGCCTCATTGAGCTCTACAAGCACCCTTGGGGGTGGGGCGCACAGGGTGTATTATGTCTATTTTACAGGTGAGGAGCTACAGGATCAGAAAGGTGAAGTGACATGTCGTATGGGTAGTAAATCATAAAACGAGGTCTCTCATCCCTGAGCCTGAACACCCATTCCAGACAGGCTTCTGCTCATCTGGCCAGGGTGAGCTACTTATGGTGATGCCAAAGGGAGCTGTGGGCCAGGCCCAGAGGGAAGGCCGGGAGGTGATAGCTGGAAAGAGAGGAAGCGCGGCTTCTGGGCAGACAAGCTGGTGTAGCAGAGTCAGGCAGAGCTGGGGAGATCTCTCCCAGGGAAGCACTGTCCCCTCGTCCCCTTTGCAATTGTCCTCCTAGACTTCTGTAAGACATTTGACATTACCTTTCATGATTACTGGGTGGATAAGACAGAGGACTGTGTCCAAATCCCAGTTAAACAAGGCAGATTTGTAACGGGTTGAACAACTCCAACTGCTGGTAATGGATCAGAAACAACATGGAAGGAGGTGTCTAGTGGCCTGCCATCAGGCACCATCCTCAGCCATGTCCTGCCACACCACCTCCTGGGAATGTGGACTGCAATGCGGGAGTAGGAGGGCTGGCTGTCATTTGCAGATGACATTTAGCTGGGAGAAGCTGAGGCTGTTTTGTATGACAGGTGTGGATCCCAATGATTGAGTGATGGGCTGACTCAACCAAGAATAAATGCCGAGTTCTATTCAGGGAAATCTCCCAAACCTATACCTGCATAGGAAGGCAGCTATGAGTATATGAGTTTATAGCAACATTTTTGGAGGGAAAAAAGGAGGCATTCAAGTTTTAATTTGTAGTTCAAAACGAATGACTTGTGAAACTGTCAGAAAAAGTTATTAGTAGTATGGATTCTGCTAATAGAGGTAGATATTCCATCAGAGGGAAGTGATGACGTTAGTTTATTTTGTGTATTCATAGAAGTGGGATTGCTGAGTTAAAGGTTATGAATGTGTTTATAATTCTCTGCCTGTATTACCAGATTGATTTCCAGCTGGTGTGTCCCCGACCCGGCTACATGCCCACCAGCAATATGCAAAGACTGTCCTTCTCACTGCACTCACACCAGCATTAAGTATTATCCTTTTAAAACATAAGTAAAAATGTGTCACATTGCAATTTGCATTTGTTTATTACCAGTAAAGATAAATTTCATTTTTAGTTTAGTGGCCATTGGTGGTTATTTTATGAATTATTGGTTCGTGTCATTTCCCGATTTTCTTTTGGGGTTTTCACCTTTTTCTTAAATGATTCAAATGAGCTTTGTACATTACAGAAATTAACTCTTCTCTGTCACATTTGTTGTAAATATTTCAGAGGAAAATATTTTCTGCAGTTTCTCTTTTTCTCTCTGGATCCAGGTTCCTGAATGCCTCAGTCTCAACTTGCATGAAATGTCCCGTGAAATTCCTGGAGAGCCTTCCAGGCCATATGCTCACAGCTCTGGTGCTCACATGTCAGAAACGATGGAGCTCATTCTGCCTGCCTTTGCCACCATATGCGCACACCCCTAATCTGATGGGCAGATCGGCAGCTGGGAGGGGGGAGGATGTGCCCATGGCTGGCAGAGGGCTGCCTGGCAAATCTTGACATCTTGGAAGGGAGAAGGTGGGCAACGGAGATTCCTTTCTAAAACTGCATCCCTTTATTCTGAAAGAAAGGATTTGGGGTTTTCTGGAGATTAGGGCATTTAAACACACCTCTACATCAAGCTAAGATTCTGTTTGTTTCCCACACTGTGGAGCACGATGAAAGTGCCCCTTGCTAGAACTATGGTGACCTGCGGTAGAGAGCTCTGGTTCAAGTGCCAGTCTGTCACTGACCTCCCTTCCTGTGTCACTGTGGACAGGCCATCTCACCTGCCTTTCTTCCATTTCTTTATTTGGCTACTGTCCCCGGATGCCAGTGTGGTGGGCTGTGTCACTGTGCTTCCAATACTGCTCTTCCAGGGGAGGTTTGATGACGTTGTCAACCCCCCTACTGCTCAGATGCCGGAAGGGGCAGGCTCAGTGTATCCCTGCAGGACAGCCAGCTTTTTGAGCAGATTTTCCTGGTCTGCTGGTCAGGGAAATGGTAATGTTGGTCATCTTGACAATTCTAAAGTCCATGGTGACCAGGCAGGAATGGCCTCGCCCTAGTCTCCCACACATCTCTACCCAGCTCTCTAGATCAGGGTCAGCAAGCAACAGCCAGTGAGCCAAATCTGGCCACCATGGGTTCTGTAAATAAAGTTGCATTGGCACACAGCCGTGCTTATTCACTTCTGTGCTGTCTGTGGCTGCTTTCATGCTGTAACAGTAGAGTTGAGCAGCAGTAGCAGAGAATGTAATGGCCTGCAAAACCTAAAATCTTTCCTGTCTGGCCCTTTATAAAAAATTGTACCAACCCCTGCTCTAGGTTGATGCTTACAAAGTCTGGTGCAGGGAAAGGCGTCCACTGGTCCAGAGCAAAGCAGGAAAATCAAGGACCAGAAGGTGAGCTTCCCAAAAAGCTCAATTTATTCAATATAGAGACTGCCCTTTATACCAAGATTATATCCTTCCTTTTTTTTTTTTTTTTTTCTGTTAAAATGCCTTGACTTTTACAAAATAATGGTGATGGTAAACTGTAGGTATTTTTCCAAATGTTTTTACTTGACCAAATAAAAAGTTGGCCATTCTATGTGGGTTCCTAGAATGGTTTGAAATTTTTTTCCACCTGTGAAATGCTCAAATCAAGAACAACTAACTCTCCTACCTTGGCTGACCCTTTGGAAGGGTCATCAACCCACCTCTTTCCTTTACACTGCTCATAACCATATTTTCTTGCCAGCAGCATCCTCATTAATTCATTCATTTGTACATTCATTCATTTATTTTCTTACTAAGACGTTTATTAAAGACTTTGTGTTAGACCAGAGGATCTCAAACTTTTGGATCTCAGAATCCATTTTCATTCCTAAAAATTACCAAGGAACCCAAAGAACTTTTGCTTATGTAGGTTATATCTATTGATGTGGAAAATGAATACTGAGAAGTGTTAATAATACTTATCTAAGAATACATTTAACAATAGCAAAAAAAAAAAAACTATCGCATGTTAACATAAATATTTTTTCTTAAAAGCAACTATTTTCCAAAACATAAAAAAAAAATTCGTGAGGAGAATGGCATTGATGGGCTTCCCTGGCGGCACAGTGGTTAAGAATCCACCTGCCGATGCAGGGGATGCGGGTTCGAGCCCTGGTCCGGGAAGATCCCACACGCCACGGAGCAACAAAGCCCGTGCGCCACAACTACTGAGCCCGCACTCTAGAGCCCGCGAGCCACAACTACTGAAGCCCACGCACCTAGAGTCTGTGCTCTGCAACAAAGAGAAGCCACCGCAATGAGAAGCCCGTGCACCGCAATGAAGAGTAGCCCCCGCTCACCGCAACTAGAGAAAGCTCATGCGCAGCAACGAAGACCCAACGCAGCCAAAAATAAATAAATATATATATTTTTTAAAAGAATGGCATTGATGCCTTTGTAAATCTCTTTGATATTTGGCTTAATAGAAGACAGCTGGATTCTTATACTGGCTTACCTTGGAGATATTGTGGGTTTGGTTCCAGACCACTGCAATAAAGCAAATTTTGCAACAGAACGAGTAACACATAGTTTTTGGTTTCCCAGTGCATAGAAAAGTTAATATTTACATTATACTGTAGTCTACTAAGTGTGCAATAGCACGATGTCTAAAAAACCAATTTGCATACCTTAATTTAAAAATACTTTATTGCCCCAAAATGCTAACCATCATTTGACAATGCAGGGTTGCCGCAAACCTTCAATTTATAAAAAATGCAGTATCTGCCAAACGCAATAAGACAAAGTATCCTTGTATCTGCTTCTGCATTCAGTCTGTTGTGATATGTTGCTTTGGTTGAAGTATGGGGAGAAAATCGTGCCTCAGTCAGGGTTGTAGTTGGAAAAGAGAAGAGCCTTTTCAGATAATTGTGGGTAGTCTTCTTTGATCCTACACCAAAACTCAACAAGTGGAAGTTTCTTAAAGTTTAGTTGTGATGTGGAATCTGAAACCATATTAGTGAACTTTTGGTACCTGGCTACATTAAAATTCATTGATCTGTCTTGGGCTTTCAGTAGATCTTTTACCTACATGTGATTTTGGAGTATGATGTATTGGTAAGCTGTTAAGTATGTGGAAACGCTTGAGCTCACAGTGGTGGAGATGCGTTGTCCAGATTCCTAAGTTTCATTCAGCAGCTTGGATTTTAGATTTGGCGACCACATGGTCAGTTGTTTTCCTTGAAGTGACAGGCTTGCTTCATTCATTTTTGAGGAGATGTCTGCCAGATACCCCCATCTGAATAACCTTTGTTTGTCTGTCAGTAGTGCTTTCAAGTAAGAATGATGTTCCATGAAGAAAAAGCGGCTATTTCTGCTTGACACACATACCATCACACAAGTGCTTTTCCTTGACGTGGGCACTGTACTTCGGTATGTAACAGATGTGCTTTTTAAAGACTTCCCATTTTGTCACACAAAATGTTAAAAATATGTATGTTCAAGGGTTGAGCTTTAATTATATTAATAATTTGTACTGTTTCATCAAGGACATTCATAAGCACAATTTCTTTTTTAATTGTGAGTGCATCAGAATAACATGACCACTGGTCCAGTTTGGTGCCGCTGCCTTGGTTCGTGAAGGCACCAGAAATTTTACCCACCATTACTTTTGTAGCATCAGTGCAAACTGTAACACCATCATAGCAAACAGCAAATCATGGCTTAGTAACATTATGAAAAGCATTTGACTTTGTGGACATCCTGAAAGGGTCCTGGAGATCCCCAGTGGCCCACAGACTACATTTTGAGAACCACTGTATTAGATGCAGTGGGGGATTCATAGATAAGTCAGATCCAGTTCTTGACATCAAATTATTCATCATCTATTGGTGGAGCTTGAAATGCTGGCAACTGAAATCCAAGTCCGAACGGGACAAATACTAAAAGATGTTAATTTTTTTATTGTGGGAGAATGTGCATAACATAAAATTTACCGTTTTAACCATTTAAATTGTACAGTTTAGTGGCATAAGTATATTCCCAGTGTTGTGCAACCATCACCACCATCCATCCACAGAAATTTTTCATTTTCCTAAGCTGAAACTCTGTCTCCATGAAACAATAACTCCTTATTTCTTCCACCCCCAGGCCCTGGTAACCACCATTCTACTTTCTGTCTCTCTGAATTTGATGATTCTAAGTACCTCATATAAGTAGAATCATATAATAAATGGCCTTTTGTAACTGACTTATTTCACTTAGCACTGTTTTCAAGGCTCACCCGTGTTGTAGCGTGAGTCAGAACTTCCTTCCTTTTTAGGGCTGAATAATAGTCCAGTGTGTGGCTATACCGCCTTTTGTTTGTTTATCCATTCATCCATCCACACACACCTAGCTTGCTTCCACCTTTTGGCTGTTGTGAATTAAGATTTTTTTCCAGCTCTTTCCTAGACTTTATTTAAAAAAAATCTTTTTTGAAGCATAGTTGATTTACAGTGTGTCTTAGCTTCAGCTGTACAGCAAAGTGATTCAGTTATATATACATATATATATTCTTTTTTGATTCTTTTCTATTATAGAGTATTACACGATATTGAGTATAGTTCCCTGTGCTGTACAGTAGGTCCTTATTGTTTATCTGTTTTATATATAGTAGTGGGTACCTGCTAACCCCAAACTCCTCATTTACTCCTCCCCTCCCCTTTCCCCGTTGGTAACCATAAATTTGCTTTCTATGTCTGTGAGTCTATTTCTGTTTTGTAAGTAAGTTCAATTGTACCATTTTATAAGATTCCACATATAAGAGATATCATATTATATGAATTAAGATGTTAATTTCTGCAAAGCCTGGCCTTGCTCTCTTGGCATTTCCTGATCATCTTTCTTTCCTTGGTAATAAGACACCGGGTGCCTCCAGGTAGGGCCTTCTTCTAGTACAGCCTACCCCACTCAGTCCACGTGGCCCACATTGGTCAAGAACACCAGCATGATCTTTCTAAAACATGCTGCTTAGGCCTCCCCCATCCCATTCCCACCCCCACCCACACCGTCTTTTCCTCCTTCAGTTTGCATCCTCTCTACCCCAGACTAGATGTTCAGCAACAGCTACTCTCATTCATTTCATCTCGACAAGTCTTTATTGATGACGCATTATTTGCTCATCAAACAGATCTGCCTTTTCAAACACTTACAGTCCTGGGCTTGGCTGCACGTTTGCCTGTTAAATCTGTATTTGCACACGTTGGAGTTGTCAGCTCCGCTCAATAGAGACAAAAAGCTCTGTGCGTTGGATGTAGGTGTCTGGGGGAGGGTTTCTGAAGCACAGGGATTTCGTTAGACTAGCGGTGTGCCACCTTACCTACCCAAGCCTCTCTAAACCATATTTATAAATCATTTTAGATATTTTATTACTAGATTTACCATTTCACCTGGCATTTGCTGCAGCAGCCAATACATCAAGTGCTAAATGAGAAGTGGGTGAATTGGAGCTTCAGTGAGGAGAGACGTATGTTATGTGAAACACACAGGAAAAGAAATCCCATTGCCTTCTGTCCTCCTTGTATTTCTCACCAAGGTTCCAGGAAAGAAGCTTACAACTGGCGCCCACCTTTTGTTTTTGAGACGGCCCTAACTCCATGTCACTTGTCACTTTCTGCTCTATGTGCTTGAACTTCTGGTTGGAAAAGCCACTCCTATTTTCACAATAGAAAACAAGCTTTTGAGACTCCCTGATCACGGTGAAAATGAAGTGTCTGCCTCATGTTTCACTGTTTATAAAGCCCTTCCAAGTACTTTATTTCACGTCATTTTCCAATAGACCTGACGTTCATGGTGGACTCTATGTGAAGTTCTCAGTACGGTGCCTGGCATCCAGGAGAGATTCTCTGAGTGGAGTGGATGGTAATCAAGGAGGTGTTATCCTCATCCTTGTTTACAGATGGGAGGCTCAGAGAGGTTAAGCCAATTAACTAAGGCCACACAGCCTATAAAGAGTTGCTTCCTATGATCTCAACTCATCTCTGGGGGGACCACTGTGGAGTTCTTTTCTCTGTAAACAATTGATACATAATCATGCCTTCCCCCAGACCTGCCCAGATATCAAAATAATCTGATGAACTGCTCCTGTTTTAAGAGGAACTTAATACCAATAAGGGGCCAAGGGAGGAAGAGGGAGAGGATTGGAAAGCAAAAATGAATCGAGCATTTTCCAGGTGTCATATAATACGTAGTTAATGCTTAGAACTAACTACTGGGGGATATTATCTCACTGTTTTGTAAACAAAGAAAATAGACTCAGAAAGTTTAGAAAACTTGCTCAGTATCTCACAGCTGATGAGAGAAGGAGCTGGGATTCCAAGCCAGATGTGTTTAGAATTCATGTCTGTCTTAGCATGAAACTAATCATGGGCTCGGGCTACTGCAAAGTAGGGTCAGGAAAGGGCTGGCTCCTTAAGGACCATCTGGTCTGATGGCCTCAGCCTGGACTTCATGGCTGTGGAGGACTCCGGGAACCTTCATACGTTTTATGAAATGATGTGTCTATGGGAGTGTGGCCAAGGGTCTATTCTTGGGGGTGGGTTCAGATTAACAAAGAGAAACCGCAATAAGCTTGTGACTCACCGATCTATTCCAGCTCCAGTTCGTAAGGGGGGAAATTGATACCAAGGCAGGAAAAAAGGGTTCCCAAGCTTCATGTGAGTGGTGGAGCTGGAAGCCTTCTCCAGTCTCCGGACTCCCAGTTTACCCTAAATCTTGTCCCCCCACATTAGCCTGAGCTGTTCCTCCAGTGCTGGTAAAGCACAGAGCTCAACGATCAGCATGTTAAGTGTTACCTGTTTGGATCTGGACCGGCCAGGCTGTCCTTGGCAGACCTGTGCTCTAGTGGTCTCAGAAAGCATGGAGGTGAGCAGACCTTGCCTGAGAAGGGAGGAACAAAATGTCAGGTGACGTTTTATCAAAGCTCAAAGAGGTTTCAATTTGAAGTGTGAGAAAGGGTCGGAGCTTGGTTTTGTTTGAAAGGGCAGCTTCTGAGCCTCCATATCTCCAAGGTTTATAATTTCACCTTGTTTTGCCTCCCACCCTGGCCATGCTAGTCATTATAGCAAAAAGAGCACTTGATGGAAGAAAGACAGGTCTGTCCCTGCAAGAACAATTTCTCTGTTGTCTGTAGAATGCCACCCAATATGATAAGTGAAATGTCGATACTTCAGACTCCACTGGTCAGGATATTTATTCACTTTCTTTAGTTATCATCAAATTCAGCCAGCTGGCCAAGGAGCAGGTTTTAACTTCTTTGGCAAGTAAAGACCCACTGTGAGGTGGTAACGTATCTTCCAACGTCATCTTTTGTGCAGCTCTTTGGATTTCTTCAAGCTTGTGCTGGTGCTGGGCTGTGGACCTGGGAGGAGGACAGCGCAAGGAGCTCAGGGCCAGATAAATCCCAGACCCTCTGAGTTCGGATTCAATGCCTCATCAAACTGGTTCTCAACCACTAAATCAGTTTACAGCAGTGGTTTTACCTCCCAGGGACAATATTGCTGTATTTGGAGACATGTGTCACAACCAGGGGGCTGCAATTGGCATCTGGTGGCTAGAGGTCAGGGATGCTGATAAACATCCTGCAGTGCCCAGGACAGTGCCCATAACAAAGAGCTATATCCAGCCTAAAATATCAGTAGTGCTGAGGCTGAGAAACCCAGGGTAGAGGCTTAGGCTGCATTAGGAGACCGATGTGACCCACCATTCACTGAATCTCTGCCACATTGGCTCCCAACAAGATGCCTACAGCAAAGAAGTACCCAGTCCCAAATGTCCATCGTGTCGAGGTTGAGAAAACCTGATTAGAGTGCTGGGGTTCCAAGCAACAGAAACCGCCCCAGCCAACCTAAATATAAAAGGGAACTTACTGGAAGGTGAGGGGTTAGTAGACAGAATAGAGGGAAATGGTGATGTACCAGACCTTGCAAAGAGTAGGGATGAGGCCGCTCCAGTGTGGAGCCAGAAGGGACTTTAGGCCAGTCTCCTCCAAGTGCCACTGAAGGCTCACCAGTTCCTGCCCTTTCATCACTAGCAAGGGGATGTAGATGCCTGGGAGAGAGAGTCTGATTGGCTGCCCTGGGGCTGGGCCCACGCTGGCCAGAGATCAGGTGCTTCCAGACCTGCATGTGAGGGGCAGGGGGCCAGCCTCAGAGAGGAAAACAGAGGCGCTCTGAGCAGAAGGGGGCTGTGCACTGGGTGGGCAGAGCCAACATGTGTCCTCCCACAATCATTACGTGCTGTTAACGGCAGATTCAGAAATGCCTTGCACTCTGTCTCACAGGACTCCACGTGGAAGAGCCAGGCTGGCAGACATTGTCACCGACCACTTGAGGAATAGAAGCAAAGACCTCGAAATCTGCAAAACGCAGCGAAATTGATCTCGAAAAGAATATCCCGGCATCTGGTAAGGTGGACTTCCGTTTCCTATTTTTCAACAACACCGTGCTTTTTGTTTCATGTATTGATCTGACCGACGTTTACTGGGTTCCTAGTGTGTCCAGGCGTTATGCCAGGGTCCCGAGTATAATCAGGTGTGGACCTCACCTGGGAAGAGCTTACAGTCTAACGATGGTGAGAGAGAGGAAGAAGCAGGCAGAAAGCGGGGGGGGGGGGGGAAGAAAGGGGACAGAGAAAAAAGATATCAAAGGGGGTGTAAGGGGAAAGAGAAGTTGGTCACGGAATATCGGAATTCCACTCGGGCCATGGTGTTTCTTCTGTGGACCTGCTCCCCCATCAGCAAAGGAGGAGGACAGGTCAGGAACACACAGGAAGGAAGTGTTGCCACTTGCCAAAGGTGCGTTGGTGTCCCCAGAGCAGTGTTCTGGGGCGGATGCTGTGCCGCTGTTCACCATGTGTGTTTGTTAGCGCGGGAATGATGCTCCCCCAGGGACACTTGTCAGGCCCGCACGAGGCCGCTGCGGTGTTGGCACGGAAGGCCCTGCATCTGTTCCTTTTACTTGTTCTGTTAAAGAAAAAGGCCCACTGAGGGTGTACCAGGGGATCCAAACCGCTGGTCATAGGGCAATTACTTATTACGAGCCTTGAATACATTCCTGATTGTATAAGGTTTCATTGTGTTTTTACGCGGAGGGCAGACTTGGGGAGTCAGTTTGGCAGCCGAGACAGGGAGGAAAAAAGAGCTTTCAGGGATCATTCTGGATGTTAAAAGTTCACTTCGAGGCAGAGGTTCAGGGATATAGTGCAATTCTGGGGACTCCAACAGAAACCTCTCGAATCCGCATTAGCGCTTAACCCTCCGTGGGAAGTCATAAAGAAAGACATTTCCCCCTTTCTCCTAACAATAATGTGACTTCCCCTCTAAGCAGCTCAACTGCTGGGCTCTAGGGTACCTGACGGTAAAGGGGAATCAGCTTCCCAAATGCGGAGCTGTTCCTCCAGCATCAAGGCCAAGGCCGTCTGCAGCCCGTGGGCCCTGGGATGAGCTGGAGGAAGGGGGCCAAGGGCTGGCTGGGGGAGACGATGCCGCTCGGGGCGAAGTCTCACGTTCTCCAACTGTGACAAGCAGGGGTCTGACCAGACTAGCACTGAGAGCCTTGGTCCTCCCAGCTTGGAAACACTGTGATTCCTTGATCTCATGGACCAACTGCCATGACCTTCCTAAAACATTGCTGAGGGTGACAGAATGGTTCATTCTTGGGTTGTGTTTGAGTAACATCAGGGACTCAACTCAGAGAAGAGCCTCTCGTTCCCGATGCACAAGCTCACGTGTGTGCCACAAACTTGAATTCCATCCAGGTCTGCCCCGGTCATGAAGCCTCTAATCACCACCACTAGCTCCTCCTCCGTTACTCTATTTATTGAGTGCAAACGGCGTGGCAGGCAATAGGTGAAGTACCTTAAAGACATGTTCTCAGTTAATCCCCACAAAAATCTTATTATCACCTGCACGTTATGGAGGAAAGTTCTAGGCCTCAGAGAGGTTTCGCAACTCATCTAGGGTCATACCCGTAATAAGCAAGTAATAGAGAGAAACCTCAGATTCAGGTTAGAGCAATGCAAATGCCATCTCTTAACATGCCCCTACGCGGGTTCACCTTCGCTACCATTTCTCTGGACGCTTCGCACACTGGGTACTGCTGGTGGCCATGTCGTCCTTTGGGCCGGCTACTTGGCCCAGTGGAAAGAACATGGGGATCTCAGAATCTTCCTCTAGCTCGGGGGTTACTTTAGCTCTAGGATTATTTAGCTCTGGGATTACCTTATTGTGGCCTTGGGAAAATTATGCTCTACTTCAGTTTTCTGTACTGAAAAATACTTACCTTGCAGGATTTCTGTGATGCTCGATGACCTATTACATGTGGAAGTTCTTGATAAACAAGAGTTAAAATATTGTTATTTTTACTATGTCCTATCTCCAGTGCCTCTAAGCAGGGTCACAAGTTCCTCGGGGTCAGGCTCTGTGTGTACACCTCATTATTCTCATAAAGTTTCTAGCCAGTGCTAAAAATATAACTGGCACTCAGAAGGAAGTGGTTGACCTAATACGAAAATCTTGTTCATGAATGTGCTTGCTCTATAATATTTCCAAATTGCCCTCCACAGGGCCTGAGCCATTCTGCATCCCAGCAGCGGGAGTGGGTAAACACAACCATTTCTGCAACTTTCACCAATACAGTGTGTTAGCCAACATTTGGATTTTTGCCAATCTGGGAGCTAAAAATTGGTATCTCAACATAATTTAAATTTGCACTTATGAATTAGGCTAAGCATAGTCTTCTATGTTTAACAGCCATTTGTATATCTTTCTATGTAAATGGTTATAGATGGTATTGAGCTGGTGGTCTTTTTTCTTCATTGATATGTAGGGTATATATTTGGGACATCAAGGCAATATAATTTGCAAAACTTTTTTCCCCAGTGTGTCATTTGTTTTAAACTTTGCTTATGATGCAATTCATTTTAAAAACAAAAGCAAAGAGGAGCCAGGTCATAAGGCCTGTAGACATTTAGGAGAGTCCACGTGAGCTGGAAATGTACTTCCCTCCCTGTGGATCCCCAGGAGTGTATGCTTGTGTGCCAAGGGAAATACAGAGATGCAGGATCAACAAGGTGGAAACTTAAAAAAAAAAAAAAAATATATATATATATATATATATGTATATACTAAGTAACCTACACCATTACTTTATAGTAAAACAAATGTGGATATGAAATGGCATAGACGTCACCATTTGTATGAATTTTTAAAGTAAAGCATTGGAAAGTCAAAGAAATGTCACATCTGCATTTGGCTGCTTTGGGGTCTGCCTCCAGATACCCCATGGGGGTCTCTTTAATGGGAAAGCTTGAGAAGCACTGCTCTCATGGGAGCTGGCAAACCCGTTCTTGTCTCAGGCCTGCCACTGGTTAACTGTGTGACCCGGCTGCATTCCACTGGCTGCCATAAACCTCAGATCCGCCAGAATACGAGCTCTCGTTGGGCAGGGTTACTATTTACTGATGAATTGTCAGTGCCTCGGACAAATACCTGGGACGTAGCAGGGGCTCCTAAATGGGTATTGAACATAATAAAACAACATGCTCAAAGTTCACTCTATTCGTCACTGTCCCCAAAGATACAGCTGTCAGTTCTGTTCGCGTCTAAGTTACCCGCCTACTGCATGCGGGATTCTGGGATATAAAGATGCCCGAAGGAGCCCCCCACCCTCCCCCCGTTGAGCAGGGCCAGAAACGTGTGCTCTGATGCGATGATCCTGAAGGATCGTTCTGGCTCTGTGCCCCTCCTCACGTGGTTCTTGCCTGGGTCTTGTAGAACATCAAGGTCAAGAATAAACACTTAGTCGCGGGTCTCTAGAGGTCACCTTATCCACTCCTCTGCCACCTCAAAACACTACCCCCATTTTGGGGGGGACCCTTGGGTGGTCCAGGCCCCATGAGACTGTCAGCACAGGCGGTCCTTCCGTGTCATGGTGGTCCCAGGCCCACCTCACACGGCCTGTTCTAAAGAAACATGATCTGGGCTGTTTATGGGGTGTGGGCTCTGATATGTGGGTGGCAGGCTGCTGGGCCACCGGCAGGCAGTAAAGTCTTATACATAGGCCTGTTTTCCGGCTACAGCTGCCACATCAAAAGAGCAAACTCCCTACAAACTTTGCCTTAATTTAAAAAGTTATAGTAACCCTCAGGATGGAGGCAGGTCAGACACCCCTGAAGTTCTCTCTGTGGCCACAGACCAGGCCTTTCCTTCCACCCCAGGCACCATTAAAAGTGGGGCGATTCTGTAGGCTGTAGGCGTCACAGGCTGGGGTAAAATAGGAACGGAAATGCGGTCTCTCTTCATACTCATAATTCGCTTCGGAGGGATCTAGGGCCAAACATTTGAAAAAGGGCCCTGGCTTCTTGGACAGATTTCTGTTTTTCACACGTTCCCATATTCTTTGGGGTCTTTCCCAGCTGTGCTTTCAAATGCCTCAAGCCCACGGGGGCACATGTTAGAGAACCATGGGGTGTAGCTCTATCCTCCATCTATAGCCAAGGTGGTAGTTAATAGCTTTGTTCTCTAATGGGCAAACTGAGTCCTGGCAATGGGAAGGGGGGTTGCCTGCAGGACCCAGGCCAGCACCAGAGGCTGAGGACAGCACCTTGTCTAAGATCCCAGCCAGATCAGCCCACAGTTATCAGTCACAGAGACGGCAGTGCTCCCCGGAGCGGCCATCTGCTCCACGACATTTCCTGGACCCCTTGTAAGTGGCAAGGTCACGTGACTTGCCAAGGAAAAGTCCACTGGAGGGAAAGGTGCCCCTTGCTGGCTGCAGCAGGGAAAGGCCCGTGCAGGGCTCCCCAGGCTCTCTCCCATGGCCACGACTGGGAACAGTGGCCCACAGAGTGAAAACTCCCTGCGTGTGGGTCTTGCATAGGTTCCCCCACCTCTGCACCACACACACACATCATAGACTCACAGTGTGGGATAGAAATATATTTTTGCTGTGTTAAGCCCCAAAGATTTTTTTTCTGCAGCATAATGCAGCCTAACCTAACCTAAACAGTGCACTAAATCAGCCCAGTGAGCCCACGATATTTACTGATTCATTTATTCTTTAGCGCCCCAAAGACCACCATGGAGAAAAGTTACATGAAAACAGATTTCAGCTCAAACATAAGAAAATACTTTTTCCCCACATAGGTACTCAATTCTGACTATCAGAGGGCAAGTCCCCACTCCCCTGCTATGCCAAGTATCAGTTTATTTCCTCTCAGCACCAGATGGAGCTAGACTTTTTTTTTAAATAGTTGAATATTTTAAAAATTATTATTTTAAATTGTGATAAAATACATATAATTTAAAATTTACCAACTTAAGCATTTTTAAATGTTGTGTAACCATTACCACCATCCACCTCCAGAACTCTTTTTATCTTGCAAAACTGAAACTCTAAGATAATACTTTTTAACGGAGACATCTGAAGATGAGCTGGGCTGTTTCAGGACGTGGTGCGAAGTCTGCTTTTGCACAGATTTGTAGCTGAGGCTGGATGGTTTTTGGCAGGAGGATGGTGGAGCAGAAACCAATGGAGTGGAGTGGAGATTCACCTCCTGTATTCAGGGACCCCTCTCTCCACATTGCACTTTCGTGTAAA